AATTAGGATTTTCTGACTCTGTCCCAAAAAAGGTTGGATTACTAACATAAAATACCAAGTGCCAAGCATGGGACACCCCTCAAATGGTCCAAGGGCATGTTACTCTTCATAACAGCACTAAAAGAAAAACATTGATAACTGGATTTGAGTCTGAGAGTGATTTTCCCTACGTGGGTAGCTTAGTGGCCCATGAGTGGGGTCGTGACTCTAGATCTAGATCTCTAGATCTAGAATCTAGATCTAGATCTAGACTCTAGGCCTAGGCTATCTAAAGATAAAGATGAGAGAGAACGTTGGATGAAAGCAATCCCACGCGACAATATACCCGATAATGTAAATACTGTTGTTTGTATTTTACATTTTCCAGATGGATTTGAAACTATTTCCGTCAAGGGAACATTAAGACCAAAAAACCATCCATCGCTACTTTCTAATTTGCCCAAAAGTTTAATTCCAACACCATTGCCCTTAGCAAGAACAACATGTAGATCTAGAACTAGATTCTAGATCTAAATCTAGACTAGATCTAGATTTAGAACTACATCTTGATATAGATCTAGATCTAGAATCTAGATCTAATCTAGATCTAGTTATTCAGTCAGATCAGTTGAAAGTGACCAGTTAGAAGAATATATTCCGTGCAGCAATCGTGTCCCCTGATGATAGCTGATAGCCAACTAGATCTAGACTAGATATATCTAGATCTAGATTATATATTTTAACAGAATTTGCTAATTTTGCTGCAAGTTTAAAGGGCTCACATGGAAAAAGGAAAAAATGCTGACAGCTGACACAGCCCCTGCTATACAGCATACGTGTTTGGGTGTTGTTGAAATGACAAAATATCTTTTGCCAACAAATCGATATGTAGATTCTATTGCTAGGAAAATTCGCAGCTGATCCATTGGAAAAATCATTTGGAAAACTTAGACAAGGTAATAGTGGAACATATTTCATTAATGCTCAGCAAATTTTAGAAAAATTGAACTTAATAAAAACTAAAGTTTTGTTAAGACTTTATTTACTTGTTTCTGATTTACATTTTGAATCGGGTCATTCTTATGAAAAATGTGTATTTCAATGGACTCAAGAAATCTGTGAACTGATTGAATCATTGTCAGAAATGGAGAATTCAGACAAAACAGA